CACACACACACACACACCAATGGCCATCAGAGTAACTACGACTAGGGAAGAGTTCAGTGCATATGGAGCTCTCCGAGTCGTGCACTTTCATTACGAGAATCATGGAATTATTCGAATACTCCACTCTTAGTGGAGAGGCTCAGGTGGGAGTAATCGGGGTGAGCTGTTTTTTTTTCTTCAGTGGCCTAGCAACTGCAACCGTTTCTTTTTCAAATGTTCCTCGCCCGTTCCATTCTCAGTGACCAGTAGAGTTAAGCGAAACAGAACTAGTCTGACAACAAGAGATATTTGCGAAGTTAAGAGAGGATAGCACAATTAGTATTAAAAACAGCGGAATGTTTGTACATGGTCGTGGTTAGAAAGCACACTGAGCGAACAAGTGCTGGTCACAGTGGTGGAATTCAGAATCAGTCATAATCTTCCGTCAGAAATGCAGGTTGCTTGAAAAGAAATGAGCATCAGTACTTTATGTATTACACTTGGTGCTGGCTACATTCTAGTTATCGCAGTGAAACAACGAAATGCAGTTAGTGTACGCAAAGGAAGAGGTAATAAAAGGTGTAGAAATTCGGGAAAATTCATCAAAATGTGCATTTAGCAGTTCACCTGATGATGGCCACTAGCATGACTACGAAAGGTCTGCAAATGTCACTGACTCTTGTCAAAGCAAGCCTAACCTTGCCCTGAGAATTCTCACAGTTTGCATTTGTAATGGATTGGGATCAGTAGCCACTGTGATAATGTGTCAGCGATTTTCGAGCGTCCGGCATGCGTAATCATGCATTTTCTGTATCGATGCCCTAGTAACCCCGATTCCAGACAAAAAACCATAGACTTTAATCAGACCCATATATACCGCACGCTTCTCCCTTTCTCAATCCACACATGTTTGATCAGCACTTTCACTACCTTTCTTTTGTCTGGGAGCGTTGGGCTATGCATTGTGAGACAAGGTTCAGTGATAGCTTTTGCTAAGACACAACAGCTATTCTAGTCGATTGTACTCTCAAAGCCAATGAGATACTAATTAACTGTACCTGAATTCCTAATCTTTACTTTGGTACATCTTCTGTTCAAAACTTTATTATCGTTCAATAAAATGAGTGACCTAAAAGCCAGGAAGCAAAACTGCCATACAAAAGTGCAAGTTTACTGGTTATAATGATCAAAAGCAAACTGATAACAATGGTGGCAAATCTTGACACTGAGCTAAGTAGTTCGGTTTAGGAGATAAAGTTATTTTACAAACTTACCCCCGGTGAGAATTGACAATCGGTGGTGGGTGTGATATTTGCTGGCTGATGTTGAACAATGTGCGGACAGGCACTGATTTCTTCATCACTTTGAAACTCCGTGGTATACTGACTGTCTGGGGCTTTTGGTGGACGTCGATCCCGTTGCAAAGAATCGGAGCGGAAAACAACTTGCGTCAGTTTATTGCTAGCAAATCGTTCCGTATCCTCAAACGGTATGGATTTGTTCGTCAGCGATGAGCCATCAATGCATATGTACTGCGTCAGCTGAGGGTGGATGTGTGCACACAGAGAAAAAAAAGATAAAATTCACCGAATTAACATTGCATTTTCACAGCAGATTTATTCGAACGTGATAAACATATGATGTGAATCGGAATTCTTTCGAGAGGCAGCAAGCACAACAAGGTTGACTCATCGATTTTTCAATCCCAATAAAAATGGACTGACAAAGGAATGAAGAACGGGTGATTCACCGTTGCTCCAAAGGGTAGAGAATTTAATGGCTTCCATATAAATTTTAACAATCATATTATTCAATAATACTGTCATCAAAGTAATCTACAGAACCATAATTGGCTGTACTGAACAAATGACCGTAAAGCAAAGTTTTTTATGCTGCCGCATGCAATTAAACTTACAGTATCCGAAAATTCATGGTTGAATGATTCGTTGTACTGCGAACTGCAAGATAACTATTATGGATGACAACAGTCGCGGATATCTTTTTCATCCCGTCAAATCTCTTGGATATCTGTGATAGCTCGCATCCAGGAGGCAATACGTTCCTTACATCACAATAGAAGTGACAAGCCTGTCAGCTTGAAGATTGGGGGAGATTTGTGTTCAGAAACAAATCTGGATTTGATAACGCTCATTAACATGCGAACAGTCGTTTTCATTGATACATTCTCAAGCCAAACTCCTCCTCAAGGAGATGTGAGTTTAGTAGTTAGAGGATGATTTATCCTCGCCAACCAGCTTCTATTACTCATTAGATATCCATGACATTTAATTAAATGAAACTAACCGTGACACAAACTAAGTTTCATTAATGATTTACTTCGGAAAGAGAATAAAACATTGTAATCAATGTTTCACTTTCGATTGTGCTTTCAAATGTTATGGAGGCTATAGGTGCAGGCTGCATTTTTTCAACAATGCACTCAATCCTAATTCATTGGGATCTTGCAAAGGCCTTCACGTGATCTCATTTGGATTTCCTCATCATCGATCTGCTTCGGTTTCCCTTTTATTTGCCCCGACACCGAAACAACTTGACCAGTCTCACATTCAACATACTGCGACCTGAAAACTGCTTCGTGTTGCGATTTCGCACCGATTTTCCCATCTAATAAACCCATGATAGACGCAAAACAATATCGTTCATGCAACACATACCACCGAGAACGAACGATATTGATCACATTAACAAAGCGCTCAAGTTTAAAACTCAACGATAACGTGTCAAGATCCTCAGAACATCACACATCCACATTAAAAAGCTGAAACATTTACTTACGAAAAAGTAGGAAGAGTAATAATAAATCAATTGGATTGCACACGTAAACTCATTCCACTGCTGCTTTTCATCCTTGCTGGATTATCATTTGCAAGTACAGCGGAAGTGTGTAATGGTTTCTTCAGCACACTGATCAATATCTGTTTCATTCAGGCTCCTTTTACACATCTTTACACCAGAAAGTCAGACTAGCGGTCAGCTCTAAAGCTGCCTACCACTTTGGCTAGTTCTTCGTTTTTGGTCTTCGTTGGATAGAACCTTAGAGCTTATTATATCGCTGAGTTGCACGACATTTTCCATTCTTGATCAGTGTGCTCATCGCATGCTAAATGCCGTGGTAAGTAGGATCTACCGTTGCATTGAACAACTCGTGTGTTCCTCCAAAGTGTCTAACCGATTGTATTGCAGAGCACTGAGTCAAGTGATTTGGAATCGGGTGATAAAAAACAGAATTCCTGTGCTTGCTGTCACCAATCGCTCGGTTTTTATGAATCATTAAGTACGGCATATTTCAGTGATCAGAGGGCTCCGACCATCGGAGGAGGGGAGTCTTAGAATCCCGTACAAATGTTGATTAAAATTCAACAGTATCGCATTTCGTCCGCATTCCGATGAACAAGAAGATCGTACAGGAATTTATCGCAGAGCTGCATTGCTCATTTCTCAGTTTAATGATGTTCTATTACAATTCAGATGATTTTCCCCAGGTTTACTTTGTGTCATTTGGGAGATACAGTCAATCTCCTGCTAGGTCGCACCCTTGATAAGTCACATTTTCCAATATCTTCCCACATTTTCGAAAACGCGAACCAACCGTATGGGTAATAACGTTATTTCTGATCATCCAATGCCGCTTCCCTCAAGATGTAGCAGCTCCTGATACCTGCTCACTTGATCGTTGACCGATGTTCGGGACGGCCACTGATCAGCCAACCTGCAATGTTGCACTCAGCCAGTTTTGTTTCACCTAATGTGATGCGAACATGACACTGTTCACTGATTGGATAATCTTTGCGAGGAAGACACACCGATACCAACAATCGAAGACAGTGTCATTTGACTTCAAAATGTGCGATCGCCTATCGATCAGAACGTGTTGGAAATGCTGCATCAGCCAGGTGCAACTCAGAGCTCCATAGCCGAATCACTTGGAATTTCAGGAAAAACTGTCTACAATATTATATCCCATCGAACGACTGTCGTAGAATTTGTGAACGTTGGAGCATCTCAGAAAAGTTGCCACCTGAAAATCAACGAACTGCCCAAGATTATGACTGAGGCGGCCTTGACTTGGTTTAATGCTATGAGGGAAAAACAAGGTGAATTTCCCATTGTGGAGAGCATCGTCTGTAAGAAAAAAATCCAGCTAGCACAAAGAATGAATCATCGTGAATTCAAGGCTTCCAAAGGTTGGTTTCGCTCTTAGTCAGAATGATGTGGTATTCAATCCTATAAAATCTCAAAGGAAAAACAGTTTATGGATCCAAGAAATCC